ACTTATACTTCATTGTTTGAAAAATAAATAGCCAATGAAAATACTAGAAATCATATTTTAAACTGTGGAAAAAACAGTTGCAACGGTACTCTAATGAGCCGCCCACAGTATCAGTTGAACGCCCCCGTGATTTCCACTGACAGGAACTTCCTCAAGGAATACCAGAATTTGGGCATCACCTACCTGACAGGTGTGGTCAGTGTTTCTGGCCTGTTTCATTTTGACCCAGCCTGACAAGTGTGGAATGCCAGGTGTCACTTCTCAAGGTATAAAAGGCAAAGCACAATGTCACATCAGCATCTCACAGCATCTCAGCTTCAGCTGCACTCACTGGAAAACAGTAGAACTACAACAGGTGAGCAAACTTTTCATTTGACATTAAGTGTTACGCATGATGTACATATACTGTATTTGACATAAATGTAATTCTCAATTTTCTTACTAATGAAGATTTATTACATGATTTCAGAAAATATGTTCTGGATTAAAATCACCATCGTTTGCATGTTCATATCCCTGCTGGAAGCCCATAAGGAGTGTGCAAGACACATAAAATGGGAGCATCTCATTCAGTCGTTAAATTCAATGGTAAATGTCCTTAAAACAACATAATTCTGATTTCTACTAAACGTGCGATTTTAAAATACACATATGCTTTGTGTTTTCAAAGGGCACTGCAATATCTCACGACTGTGCATTTGATTATGAAGAAGCCAGTTTGTGTGATCCACATCATCTGGCCAATATGGTTTGTACATCTGCCCTTATTCCGTATGTTGCTGATAAATAATGTTTTATAAAAGGTTTAACAAAACAAAACAAAAACTAAGATTAATGTTTTGCTCTTCACAGGTGGATCATAATGCAATTCTTCTGGTCGACATTATGAAGAAAACAGAAACAATGTACAGGGAGAATCCAAACCCACAGACGTTTATTGAGGCCCTACATCACACCCGTCACACCCTGAGCAACTGTGTAAGAATCACAAATGTGTTATTATAAAGTATAATACAGCCACACAGCTCATTATCAACATGATAATCATGTTGTCTGTGTTTTCTGTTTTTTTGGTAGATTCATCACTCTAACAATGCTGAAAATGAGCCTGTGACCACATGTTTCAACAAATTAGAAGCTTTTCTTAAGAAAAAGGTAAGATCCTGAAGTATTTCTCTGTCTGTCTGACTGTCTATTCATCCATATTAATGTCTATATATTTCTATTTTTTTCAGTCCCACTCGCAATGTGCATGGGAAATTATTAATTCAAAAGTGAGGGAGGTTCTTCAGAGGCTGGAGAAACGCTCCGTCAGACAGCGACGTTAGAGACTTTATCATGCATGTATTAATGCTTATATTTAATTGCAAAAAGGTGACATTTTATAAGCTTGATGGATATATGTATATATTTTAAGAAATGCACATTATTTACAAAATCATGATTTTTTTTAGTTTATTGCTGTGTGAGATAAGTAGTAGTACAGATTTAGTTTTTCTATTTTTCTAATAAAATTGTAATGAAATGCAAACACTGTAATACACCGAATGTGAGATTATTATTATTATTATTTATATGTTTTAGTGTTAAAAGGTGAGTCTTCTATGCTATTGTTAGTATATGATCTTCTGACACATCCATTTGTACTAATACTATCCAATGTTGCAATGTTACTACCTAATGTTAATGTTCTTGAACAAACATAATAAAGAAAACTAATAAAATCATCATTCTGTTATATATGGTGTTTGAAACTCTATTTAATATTGGTACAACATCTACATCAACAAATCTGATGGTACACTGGGCAACTTTTTGGACAATGCTGCCGTCAACAGGCAACCAGGTGAGACACAAGGCCCACAACCGATCTAAAATATCCAGATAGAAATGTGTTACCCATTCTCAATAGGAAAGTGCCCAAGCAACATTGTTTAATTGCCCAGCAGAATTGCTCACAAAGTTGCCCCGTGTATCATCAGCCTAAATCTCTTTAAAAATCTAAAGCACATTTTTCATTTGTTAATTTAGGGGTATCAGAATATGATTTCCATTCTGAGACGCAAAAGCGGTTTTCTGACATTTATTCTTTTCAAGAAATCATATTGCCTAAAAATTACACCATACAGGTCTGATTGTGAATGATGCTCCTACAATGGCATCTCCTTGCAGGTTTTTACACAAACCAACAGACGGCAGCATATACTCTAAACATAACGGTTGCAAAGCTACTTATATGATTAACAAAAAATTAGGAAAAGCTATATATCTTTTCCTCTTCCTCCTAAAGTTAAGGAGGTGAACTTCAAAATTTTAAATGAGATTTATCCTACCAATTAATTTTTAAGACTGAAAATTAATTTGGATGTGAATAATTGTGTTTTTTGTGAAACGAATATTGGAAATCCAGTGTTTCCCAACCGGGGTGCTGTCTGTCGAGAGCAGGGGTGCCGTGTAAAAAAAATCATTTTTTAATATTTTTAAATTGCTAAAATGTTCAAAAAAAGCATCTATTATATAATATCCATTTCTGATGTCGTCAATAATTAGAGATGCACCGAAATTCTGGCTGCCGAAAATTAGTTCACGGCTCAGGTTTCTCTTTCACGTGGTGTGACGCTCTGCGTATTATCCCGCTCTATGCGCTCCACTCGTATACCGTTCATGCGAATCGGAACAGTAAAGTCCACTCAAACATTGAGCCGACAAGAAACATCGATGTAGTAGTATTGTTTCTGTCTGCAATAGCCCTACTGTGTTGTAACATGGTGTGGTATATGGGCAACTCTGGTAACGCTGCCCTCTCATTCATTGATCTGCTAACCGCCATGTTATGCTCACGTGTTCTGATAATAATAGCTTTCTAGGACTAAACATTATTTGGATAATTGGTAAAAAAAAAA